GCACCGGCCGAGGGGGGGCAGCGGCTACCCCCGGGGTGTCTGCAGGAGCACCCTGGGGCGGGAGAGACCCCCGCTGCCCTGCCAGGCTGTTGTGGTCGAGGGTTATAAACCACGGATGCAAATAAGGCCGTCCCGGGGAGGTTTGAGGCGGCTGTAAATCACTGTGCTCATAAAGCCTTGTGCCGGCAGTGCAGGCGTCTGCTGCCTGCAGCCTGCTCCGCTCTCGCCGTGCCGGTAACGGCGTTGGGAGGAAACGCCAGCGGTCACTGCCCGGCTGCTCCCGTCTTTGCTGACGTTTGAGATTCACTTCCCAACAGGGCTGGGCGTTATCTTGAGGAGAAGCAGGCAGCAGCGTTGCAGGAGGAGAGGATGCAGCGCCACGTGGACAACAGGCAGGCAGGGGACGAGCCAGAGGCAGAGCAGGACGAAGCCCCTCTGCTTGCTCAGCAGCCCTCCTCCCGCACAGGTAAAGCCGCTCCCTGGGGAGGAGCGGGCTGAAGCGCTGCCTCAGCAGGGCCTGGGAGCCAGCGACCTCAGGCTTCGACGTGTCCCCTCCATCCTTGGGCAAGTCTCCTTGCCTTCCTGCCCCTCCTTTCTCCTTCTGGAGGTACAGATTGCCACCCCTGCAAAGGAGGAGGGCAAGGGCTCAGGGGTAGATGTCTGGAGGGTACCTGGAAAGAGCCATTTGTCGCTGCAGTAAGGCGATTGCCTGGCGACACGGATCTGTAGGAGGGGGTGAGAGTTAACCCGTGGCCCCTCCGACCAGCCCTGGTTTGTGGGCGCTCTCCCTCCGCAGGGCTCTGCTCCGCTCGCTGTGGCCTGGCCCTGGTCCTGCACGTCTCTCTCTTCGTGGCATACGCGCTCCGGGTCAGCCTTAGCATCGCCATCGTCGCCATGACTAATGGCAGCCATCCCCACAGCTGGTCCGGCAACGCTCCCCGCGGCTCCTACCCAGGATTTGCTCTGCACGTAAGTGGAAAGCAGATGCAGATAACTGAAAGACGCTTCCCAGGCTCAGTCCGCTCTTGCTTTTGCATGAGGACAGACTTGGAAGCAGCAGGGAAAAGCCTTGAGGACAAGGCGGGTGAAGGAGCGGAGAGCTCAGTTTGTTGTACTCAGGGCTGCGTTTCCTGGTTGCTTCTCCCCTTCTGGAGGAGTCTGTGCCCGGAGAACAGAGATCTCCATCTGACAGACACGTTCTGTCTCCTCCAGGCCCCCGTGTACAACTGGAGTGCTGAGACTCAAGGAATCATCCTCAGCTCCTTCTTCTACGGCTACGGCCTCACGCAGGCGCTGGGCGGGTACTGCTCAGGGCTGTTCGGGGGGAAACCCGTCCTGGGCAGTGGGCTCCTGCTCTCCTCCGTGCTCACGCTCCTCGTGCCCCGAGCAGCAGAGCTTGGCATGAGCTTCCTCATCGGGCTGCAGGTGCTGCTGGGCTTGGCTGAGGTCAGTCGTGGCTCCAGGTGCTGCCAGGCTACGAAACCTGCTGCGGTTAGCCCTGGCTGCGCTCCCCGTGTCCCTCCACGCTCCCTGTTATCGTTGCAGGGAGTGATATTTCCAGCTCAGTACACGCTCTGGGCAAAATGGGCCCCTCCGCTGGAACGCAGCAGGCTCATGAACATCGCTGATGCTGGTAAGACACAAGGACTTTTCCCTACCACCGATTCACTAAGTGCAGGACCTCCCCCGCACCCCCTTCTTCCCAAGCCAGTTCTTGTAGCAGCCTCAAGTTCGAGGCTGTGGGTCCTTGGCAAAGAAGTGTTAGCAGCATTCAGCCTTTCCGTCTCTCCTCCTCCCATCATGTGTCTTCTCTGTTTCCTTGGCTCAGGTCAGCTTGAGGCGGGAGAGGGAACCCGGACACGGAAAGGAGCAAACGTGGATACAAGGGTGCTTGTTTGCACCGGCGCTTCATTTGTGCCACCACATTTTCCCATCACAAATCAGGCTGGAGGCTGTAGGTCTGTCCCACTCACTGCTGGTCACACGAAGCCCCATTAAAATGACTCTTCTGGTTTCTGATCCCTAGGATGTACTTTTGGGACTTTCTTTGCTCTCCTTGTGGCTGGGATCATCTGCCAGAGTCTGGGGTGGCCTTTTGTCTTCTACATCTTTGGTGAGCAATGGCCCATCACGTCCCTCTACTCCAACCCCGCTGCAGACCATTTGCTGGCAGAGCTCCCAAAGGTTCCCCATCAGAGCCCTGCGGGACCAGCTCCGTCCTTACTAGTCCCCCGCAGAGCTCTGGGCTCCCCTTCCACCTGCCAGGCCAGGATGAAGCCATTTTGCTGGGGTACTATTAGGGAACGTGCCTTTGCTGAACCTTTCGTGCCATCAGCTTGGCCCACTGATGATGATCAGCCTTTGCCCACTTTCGTGCCACTGTAAGCGATGGGTTAAGGGGAGTTCTCCCTTTCCATCTTCCCGCGCTCGTCGTTTCACTAGCACCAGCCCCCATCCCGCTGGCTCGCTGGCTCTCAGCTCTGCCGCAGCTCACCGTAAGAGGAGCTGGCATTGAGAGCCACGTTCCTCGCAGGTGGCGTTGGCTGTGCCTGGTGCCTCTGCTGGTTCCTCCTTGTGTACGAGGACCCTGCACATCACCCATGGATTAATGCCGGGGAGCAGGAGTACATCATGTCGTTGCTGGCTCACCAGGTACTCACAAACCTTTTAACCACGACTGACCACGCTGCAGACACTGTGGCAAAGGGACTGCTCTGAGTCAGTTCATCTGGGCTCCTTATACAGTGGCCAGGGCTAGTCCCAGTCTTCTCAGCAGCAGGTAGAGAGGCTGACGAAAGCCTGGACAGCCTGCCCAGGGGATGGGAGACAGGAACCGGCTGATGTTTTCTTCCTTCCAGGGCAGCTCTCATGGCTGCTCCCTCCCACTCGTGGCCATGGCTAAATCACTGCCTCTTTGGGCGATCACCATTGCCTGCTTCTGCACAGACTGGCTGTTCTACATGCTGCTGACCTCCATGCCCATGTTCATGAGCAACGTCCTCCACTTTGACCTCAGAGAGGTGAGTGCTGCCCTGCAGCTGAGGCTGGTCCCTGCAACAGTGACAGGATTTGGTCCCTCCGTAGGCTGGGAACATGGGGGTTCCTCAGGGACGTCTCTTCCTGAAGACCAGTGGCTCTGGGACCGAGGGAGCTGCAGTCCTGGAGCTCTTGGCTCTGTTCCTTTGTGCCATGGATGTGACAATGCCTTGTTCTCTGCTCTGCAGAACGGGCTCCTCTCCTCCCTGCCTTACATCGGGAATGGGCTGGGGCACATCCTGGCTGGGCTGCTGGCTGATTTCCTCCTGGCCAGGCGAGTGCTTGGCACAGCAGCCATCAGGAAGCTCTTCTCAGCACTCGGTAAGGACAAGCTTTCATCTGCCGTCCAGCCTTTCTAACACACTTGTGTGGCCTGTTATAAAACACATCCGCTTTTCCTCCCAAGGGATGCTGCTCCCAGCTGTCTTCCTGGTGGCTGTGCCTTACCTTGGCTGCAGTTCCACGGTGGTTGTGGTCCTTCTAACGCTGGCCTTGACAATAATCAGCATGACGGGGGCAGGCATCAATATTAACCACATCGATATAGCGCCCAGGTAAGTGGGTCTGACCTCTGCCCTCCCTGGCTCTGCGTCCTTCCTGTTCCTAATCCCCCAAGGCTTCTGCAACTCCTACTCTCCCTTCCCTTATCTTCTGTAGCTGGTGGCATTGTAAGCTAAGGAGTAAAACAAAGGCTTAAAATCCCGCCCAGCCTTGCAGGGAAGATCCTAGTGTTGCTCAGCGTGACAGGCAGAATTCGTGCGGATGAGGGAAGGGACTGGCAGCACCTGCTCCTCTCCCTTCTTGTGACGGTTTCCTCTCTGCCTCACTCAGGAAATCTTTCCTTCCTCTCCCCAGATATGCAGGGTTCCTGCTGGGAATCACAAATACCTTTGGCATAGTCGCGGGAATTATTGCTCCTACCGCAGTTGGACTTCTCGTCAGCCAGGTAATTTGGGGCCACAAACCACAAGCACACCCCTGGAAGAAAACACAGGTCTGCTCTCAGAAATGGATTCCTTTCTTTGCACTGAATCAAAAATTACTCCAAGCCAACCCCCTCTCCCAATGAAAACGTGGTGTAGCACCCGGCAAACCAGAGTTCTGGACCATTTTGAGGACACGGGGATGACTCAGAAAGCAGGAAGAGCTCCACATGGGCCCCATCTGGATGTACTTAGAGATGGGGAGAGGGTCGAGGGAGTGGGGTGAGGGGGAAGCTCTGTGCCAGGCAGGAAAGCTTCCTGAATTCAGCACAGCACACAATGTTTCCAAAAATGCCGAGGCAGGAAACGCAGCTCCAACAAGAGGAGGTCTGGCATATGTCGAGTTGAGCAAAGTTCTTCTGTTGTGGGTACTAGTAGCAAGCAGAGGATGGAGACGAGTTTAATGCCAGTGAACTGGGTGGCAGTAGTTGGGTGATCACTACGTGGAGATAAAGGGAAGGGTGATACCATCGTGATCTGTTCTTGGCCCCCCAGGATCTCCAGACTGGCTGGAGGAATGCCTTCTTCGTATCTGCAGCCCTCAACCTGTTTGGCCTGATCTTCTACATAGCCTTTGGCAGCGGGACCATCCAAGACTGGGCTAGGGAGGACACTGCTGTGCAATGAGAGCCACGAGCATGGGAAGGTACGCAAGGGAATGGGCTGCAAACGGCACGGGTCAGGCAGGAGCCCCTTCCACTACCCTGCTCTCACCTGCGCAGCAAAGCTCAGCCGTGTGTTCCTGCCTGCTTCTGGGGCCCTTGCAGCATCCTCAGGTGACGGCATGAGCTACGCAGCCCTGCCTGCACTCTGACTCCTGAAGTGCCCAGCACCTTCACCCAGCTCTGTCTACCTTCTGATCCCAATCTACTCCCCTGGGCAGGCGCCAGACCTTCGACCCGTGTTGCCTGCTGTGCATTTAACCCTGCCCTCAGGGTTCCTTTGCCCACCAGAAGGAACGCTGCAGCGTGGACAGATCCTAAACAGGATCCACGGAGAGCTATTAAAGCTGGCTGTCAGCTGAGCTCTGTAAGGAGCCTGTGGCTATTTCCAGCAGAGCTGTTCTTAGATGAAGTAAATCGATAATGAAGTAGTAGAGTAACATTACTTTTTAACTAGCAGCTTCTCATGCCCTCTGCACAGAGACTCCTAACACTTTTTTTCTCTTCTCAATGAGACAAGCTGATTATTCATTTATCCTTCATCCCCTTTTAGAAGCAACTGGGGGAAAAAATAAGTGAGGGCATTACAGAATTCAACCTGGCAGCCCTGAGCATGGCCCCTGGGAAGCAGGGAAGGGGATAAGCAGGGAAAGCGATAAGCAGGGAAAGCCTTGAGCTGGTGTCATCCTTACTGAGTGACAGCCTCATTGCAAGCATTCAGCTCAGGACGTGGCCCCTGAAAGAGATGTTTGGACCTAAAAAGGGGTGTGAATTTGGCTTGCGCCCTTCCCAGAGAAGCTGTGTTATGCTCTGCTCCCAGCTGACCGCAGTGACCCCTCCTTTGCTCCAGACAAGCCAAAATGGTGCAAAAACAGGATCCAGATCCCAGGCAGAGATCTGAAACCCACAAACGCTTCCCTGAAAGAGTGAAGTGAAATTGAAGTATGTTCCCAGGTCTGGTTCAAGGAACTGAGGGGTGTGGGGGCGGGAGAAGCTCCGGGAACCAGGCTTGGGTAAGCTACGCTCGATGCTGCTTGGGAGTGGAGAAGCTCCAACACCTTCTGGTGCAGCATCTCCCAGCAAAACCGCTGCGGCTCATCCCTCCCGGCCAGGGCGGCAGACCGGAGCTCCTGGCAGGACCCCAGCCCCCTCCGCCACCATCTGCCCTAGTGCTCTCCGGCGCGAGCCCCACGGCAGAGGCAGCAGCTCACGGCGGTGCAGGCCGGGCCCCGGTCCCAGCCTGGCTGCGGGGCACGGGGTG